ATTTAGATTAGACATTAAGAAGTTATTCACTATGAGGGTGGTAAGGCAGTAGAACAGGCTGCCCAGAGAAGCTGTGGATGCCCCATCCCCTTTTACTGCACAAGGAGCAGTAAAATATTTTTGGATATTTTGATATTACATAACCAGGTTATAATCGATATGTTCTACTCAGGTAACACTGAATTTTCATCTACACTTGTTGCTATCTGGCCAGACAAAGTTACATCTTCTGTCTAGTCTTTCAGCCACAGCATGAACAGGCTGTGAAAACCGCAAGAGCACTCTGGAGGGCTTAACAAGCAGAAGGCAGCTATCAAGCACTCAGTATTCCTGGTAGTTGTAGAATATGGTTCTAGAAAGGGTGCTTTGAGTTTCTTTCCTTTTTGCTTCCTACTACATGCTAATAATTATTTTTATAGCTATTATTTAGAAAGCATCAGAGTCCACACTTCTACAGGGGCTGACTGCAACATCCATTTAAAGGTTAATGAGGCAGGCGTTGCCTCAGTTTTGTATTTCCCAGTTAAGACTGTCACATCACAACTATTTTTAGGATTATTTTTTTTTTAATTGCTTGCTCTTGCAACAGACTTTGATGTCCAGAATGTTTTTTGAAAGCACAAATCACAGACCTTCAGAGGCTTTCTGTCAGAACAACTCATAAAACTGGATTCAGAGATATTAAGCATTAACCCTACCTCCTAAATCATTTCATCCATCAAAACAGTTCCTCTCCGATTTAGGAACTCCAGATGAACCATAAAGGCTGCACTGTTTCCCCTTCTTCAACCTGTAGGGTGTGCTAGAAGTCAACACAAGCTCCATCCTTGTATATTTTTAAAGGTTTCCTGCAGCCCCTCTATTTTAATAAGGCGCTAAAACTACATCTCTCCAACTACATGCTACTGAAAAGGGAGGTAATGTAATACCTGTTTTTGCCCAAATACTGCTCCAATGTTTTCCTTTAAACTAGGACTTCCAGTAGTGGATACCACAGAGCTTTTTTTCCCTTGGCCGACCTGATTAGTGCAATTAATCCGCACTCCTTTTGAAATAATACAGTATGCTTGCAATATCTGGACCATTTTTGCATATTCCTATTAAAGAAAAAAGAAAGTTAACACTTACACAAAATGTCTTTTTAAAACAAAATTGTACAACATTTTCAATATTTGCATGCAACAGAGACTTTATTGTGTCCAAAAGGGGGAGTGTCAGATTTTTTCTAATTGTTACAAGCTAAATGTAGGTGTATATATATATATACATATATATATATATACATATATATATATACATATATATACACATATATGAAAAATAGATGTGTGCAAATAGTCATACATTTTTTATTAATCCATGTCATATTTACAAGATTGATATTCAGTCATTTTTAACACAGCATTCCCTGATTTTAAAATACACAAAAGTGATGTTGTTGTTTCTTTTCAACATATGGAAATTTGAGATTGCGCCTCTAAAACTATTCATTGTAATTCGGAAGAGTGTGCATATGGGCACACTGCTTATTATATGAAGACCTAAGACAGACATGAAAGAGTCTGACAATATCAGAACTGAACATTATTCAGCAGTGAAAAAAATTGAGGTAAGCCAGTCTTAAATTAATAATTTCTGATTTAACCTACCTTTTTAATGTTTCTTTGAAATTCTTTATGTCGTACTGGCAGAGTATAAAACAACTGCTGTATGTTAACAGTTGTTCCTTGTTGTCGTGGATAAGGAGTTTTCTGAGTAATTTTACCATTGTGATCAAATACCAAACGAGTCCCAACCTTTGCAGATTTATGGCAGGTAAAAATGGTAACATCACTAATGGAGGGAAGAAGGCAGCAGAATTACTGACTGAGCATTATCTTTTCTTAACCATTCCTTACAACCTAGTCAGGCACAGAAAGCATTCATGTATTTTTCATTATAGTTTTCAGTTATATTTTAAGTTGGTTGTGGTGAAGAGTAGTATAACATTTTGCTAGCTACAACACAAACATTTTTATCCCTTTCATTCTTCTCATATAAAATGCAAAGTTAAAATCTGGTTTGGTAGGACACTACACTTGTCATACTAACACACAACAGCAGAACAGTCTTGTTGCAAAAAAAGCTGTGCTATTTGAAACACAGTTTCTCTTGGAGGAGTTTAAATGCAGTTTTAATGAACTGCAGTAATCGCAGTCTAGCAAGCAGCACTTAGGTATAACATCAGGGTATCAAAGACTTCTGCAAATGCACAATTCCATCCTGCAGAGACTTGCATACTGAAGTAACGCTAAATTTTGTACATAAAAGGACCATTCAGATGCTTAGAATAGTTTTGGATGGAAAGAACCTCAGGATGTCATGCAACCTACTACTCAGAATGGAGCTTACCTCAAGTAACTGCAAGTTCCAAAGCCTCAATTTATCAATAGCGGTAAGCTGAACAGTTGGCTTCAGTCATTTTTTGAGTATAGTTACTTTCTACTAGTAAGAAGATTAACATTAATACCTTAATGCACACAGTGAACTGAGAGCTTCACCTCGAAACCCAAATGTTTCAACATGTACTAGATCAGAAAAATCTTGTATCTTTGATGTGTAATGTTTCAGAGCTGGAAAGAGATATTTAAAATATATATTTCACTTCAAAGTGACAGTGGTATATGCAAGTAGGCTTTGCATGCATGTCAAGAAGCAAAGAAGACTTTTGTATTATTCGTTATTTAGATAATAATCAGAGGCAAAATAATTAAATATGCAATGTTTCAGCTATACAAGATCTCTCTAAAACCCTCAGATATACCTGTTAGTCCATACTTACACCTCAAACTCACACAGAATTATTGGCAAGTGCATCACAAGATGCTTCATAGCAGCATGCAGTAACTGCTTGTTGTACCTGTCAGAGATGCTGCCACGCAAAAGAAATCAACTGCAGAGCCATGCTATGTAACTGTATACAGCAGGCAGGGATAAGCCTGTGCACCGCGACCACAGCTGGGAAGGACTCACTCTACACGACCAGCACAGCTCTAGTCACCAGGTAACAACCTGACCTCCTGACAGTGCTCCTGAACTTTCCCTGTCCTTAACAGTGGAAGAATGAGTTTGTTAGCTACCAGATAAACGCTGTGAGCACACAAAGTTACTCAGTAATAACTTATGGTGAAAGAGATCCCTAACCATTACAGGAAAGAGGAAAGATGAGTATTTCCATTGCAATGGCTAGTTACGTTTATCAGACAGTATTGGGGCTGCCATCGTTCTGCATTACTTAAAAATAGCAAATGGAACACTTGACAGTCAAGCATGTGATGTCAGTTCATGGCCTGCAAATACTCCAGTTTGTAGTTCATTTCCCAAAAGCAGTCACTCTCACAAAGTTTGACTCCTTCAGCAGTGACTGATGACTCAACATGAATAAATCTACATGAACAGTTCTGGGGCATTCTCCTCTATAATTATATCTGTTCTATGTTCCACTTAAACAAGCAATCAAATCAAAGACTATTTCTGAGCTACAAGAACTATAACCGCAACAGCACTTAGGAAGTTCATTCTAGTTTTGCTCAAGTCACTGCAAGTCATGCACACGTTATGTAAATGCCAAGTACTCATTAAAAATAAGTAGATATAGGAAACTTGTAAAAAACAACAACACAACATAGTAGTAATTATACTGAAAAATATATTTTCAACGTGTCCAGGTTAAACTTACTCAAGCCTTCAAAGTTTTCTTCTTCCACTCCACCTCCATTATCTGAAACCTCTATCAGTTCTGTTCCATGATCCTTCAGTTTTATATCTACAAATTTGACAAATAAAGTCTTTTAACTCTGCATGCTTATAGGCAACATTCAGCATTAATTCTGTACTTTAAAGAGCTTTACCATGCAACTGTTTTCCATACAGTTTTAATTAAAACAAAAATTCCTCATATCTGTCAAAACCCAGACAAACTAATGCAAGCCTGCCTGTACTTTCAGGTCATGCTTTGGCCCGTGAGGAAGTTTTCCCCATTGTAACAGCTCTTAGCCTGGCAGTTCTGTTAACTGCACTCCTGCCTTAATGGTCTGCGAGTTTGAGGCAGCAGAGCCAAATCACCACAGCAATTTAGGAGCAGAGCAGGCTGTCGATGAAGAAACACAGACAAACTGAGCCTGCACGAGCTCAACTGGTGCCCAGGAACCCAAACACTTCGTGGATACGAGTGGTAAAATCGCTGCCAACGCACTGTGATGCGCACCCCGCAGCGAGGAAACAGACACATCCCCAGCCTCGGGGCGGTTCGGGGAGCGCTGACAGGCTCCTTACCGATGTTGGTGGCTCCCGCGTCCAGGCTGTTCTCCACCAGCTCCTTGACGGCGGTGCCGAGGCTCAGGACGACCTGCCCGGAGCAGATGCGATGCACGGACCTGCTGTCGATGGCCCTGATGGCCTTGGCGGGCTCCGGGCTGCAAAGAGAGAGAAGGGATGGGGGGCGCGGGGCGGCCTCCGGGGGGAACGGCGGGACCCGGGCGGGGCGGGGCGGGCCCAGCAAGCCACGACCGCTGCGGGGCCCGGCACGGGGAGGGGCAGGGGGAGGCCCCCGGCATCTCCGGGAACACGGAGGCCAAAGGGGCCCGGGCCCCGTTCCCGTTCCCGTTCCCGTTCCCTCACCTGGGCTCCGCCGCCGCCTCCATCGCGCCCCCTCAGCCGCCCGCCTCCTCCACGGCCCCGCTCGCCTCAGGAAGCCCCGCCCCCTCCGGCTCCCGCCATTGGCCGCCGGAGAAAAGCGCCCACCAATCCCCATCCCCTCTTCCCCCCTTCCTCGCCAGCAATTGGCCGACAGAACTGCCCAATCGCCCCCCGCGCCGTTCTCCCCGCGGCGACACGCTGACTGACTCAGTAGCTCCCCCCTCCCTCCGGCCAATAGGAAGAAGGCGAGAGGCACTCGCGCGGCGTCCTCCGGCTCTCATTGGGCGGCGGGCCCGTCAGTACGGAGCCCTGCCCAATGGGCGCGGCGGGGGGGCGGTGCGGCGCGGCGCGGCGCTGCGCGGAGCGGGGGCGCCATGCCGATGTACAAGGTGAAGCCGCTGCACGGGGCGCCGGGCGCGCTGCGGGCCGAGCAGCTGCCGAGCTGCATGTACCGCCTGCCCTGCCTGCACCGCGCCGCGCCGCCCGCGCAGGTAGGAGCGGCCCCGCCGCCACACGGCTCCCCTCACGCGCGGCTCGGGCGCGGCCCCGCGGGGCTCTCTCGGGCTGCGCCTCGGCTCCGGCTCTCATTTTGGGGTCTTTCTCGCTTTTGGGGGTCGTTCTCTCCTTTTCTGGGAGAGAACGACTCTTCTCTCCTTTTATTCTTATTTTTCTTTATTAGTTTTTCTCTGGGGCTGGTCGGGCCGGTTCTAAGCGGCCGGGCGTGGCCGAGGCCCCTGTGTGGTGCCCGTCCCTCCGGCAGCCGAGGCGCGGAGCCTTGGGAGGGGCCGAGGCAGCGCCCGGCCTGGCCCGGAACCCCCCTGGGGATGGGGCCGCCGGGGCCTCGCCGCCCTCTGAGGGAGGAATTGCCGCCTAACCTCGAATCTACCTCTCCCCTCGTTTAGTTTAAAGCCGTTCCCCCTCGTCCTGTCGGTATCTGATTGAGCAAGGAGTTGTTCTCCGTCTTTTTTTATAAGCCTCCTTTGAGAGCTGAGCGGTTGCAGTGAAACGCCAAGCGCTTCGTGAATCTGCCTGGCGCCATCCCCTCAGCTCTGTCAGCAGCCCCGTGAATTCCCCAGCACCAGTGGCCCAGCTCAGCCCGGCAGCACCGTGTTCAGAGCATGCGGCTCACCATGGGGAGCCTTGAAGAGGATTAAGCTCGGGGGGCAGATCTTAACAGGAACCCTCAGTAGCACGCTTAGCACTGCAACAGCCACGGGCTAACCACCAGCCTCCTCCGAGACTGGGGTTTATCTTGTATAATTGTGTGCTTGCCAAAACCCATTCGCTTAAAGAAGTGTCTCAGCATATGCTCTATGAGAATGGTGTGGAAGCTGGTGGCGTGATCCTGCTTAGATACCTTGCTTGTCTCTTTATCTATTAGCCAGAAAGATGCAGTCTGGTCAGTAGGTTGGGTTTCTTTAATGGCTGCGTTCAGGAGGTTTAGAAATTGACTACCTACATACAGATTTTTCTTAACATTGATGTAAGGCTGTAGACTTAAAGCCTCGCATGGAAATGTATTCTTCGTCTTTTAAAGAGGTCACATTGTAAGATGGGAGACTTCTAGGCGGAAACTGAGATAACAGAAAAATCCATTGGGATTAGCATATCACAAAATCCATGGGTTTGGGGTTTTGATTTTTTTTTTTTTCCTCATAAATTCATGTTCTCTGAAACAAAGAGCAATCTCATACAAGGTACCACCCATCTAAAGCTGCAGCTTTCCCTGGCTTTTATTAACAACATGAACTGACAGGAAGCACCCTTGTTTGGCAGCCTCAACACAAGCTTAATTGGTTTACTCAGCTAGGCTGAAGGAAATCTTGACAAGCAAATTTTGGCTTTTCACATTTTTAATTCATCTCATTGCTGCTAACTTTAAGTGTCTGTAGTTCCATGGTTGTGGTCTGATTTTTACTAGATTTTGGTTCACTGTAGCTAACAGTTTTTTGTTTGTTTGTTTTTAAACACATTAAACACATTAAACAGTTTTCACCAATTTGTTTAAAGAAGATATAACTTGTTTCACCACATCCATACAGATTGGAGAGGTAGACAGAGGACCTTAATATGCCATGATGTAGGGTTATGATTTGAATAACGTGTTTGAAGTCTTTCAGAATCTGTCAAGTAAGCTGTGAACTATTCAGACATTGAGGTGATTGAACACTTCTGTGATTTTCTTTTTCCCCTGTTGTAGGAAGAGGTTGACCCATCGCTACAAGCGCTTGAGTCCCGCCAGGAGGAGATTCTCAAACGCTTATATGAGCTGAAGAGTGCCGTCGATGGTCTCTCAAAGATGATACAAACTCCTGATGCTGACTTTGATGTAACTAACGTAATTCAAACTGATGAATGTTCTACTTTGACAACAAATGGAGCAGATTTAGATTTGATGCTTGGAAAGGTAAGTTCCGTTCAGTATATACAAGGATGGATATTTTCTTTGCCCTCAGCTCCTCAGGGGTGTCAGGGAGGCGTTGAAATTTGAAACACTCAGAACTCAATTTACAAGACATTATTACATTCTTAGGAATAACCTACAACTACCAATTTATTTGGGGCATACAAATTAAAGCTGTAAGTCTTTATAAACATTAAACCATATATATTCTCGTTTTGATACCAACCCAAGATGGAATGGCTAATGTGGAAATCACAACAGTTGTTTTTTTCTTTGTTACTAACTGGAACTTTTGACTTCAGGTTGGACTAGAGTTTATCACGATCATGTTTGTAAATTGTTTTATTACTGAAGAAGAAAGATGTTTAATTCTTTTAAGTAAACCTTAAATGTGCAAACTTGTTTGAATATCCATAGAATTTTAGACACATGTATATGGCTTTGTACATTCTGGTGTCAAATGAAAAAAAAAAAAACAGCACTTCAAAGTCTTATTGGGAAAATGTCTTATCTGCTGATTTTTTTTTTTTTTTTTGCTTTCCATTCAGGATTATGGTGCCCTGAAAGATATCGTAATCAATGCAAATCCTTCTCTACCTCCATTGTCATTATTAGTACTACACAGTCTGCTTTGTGAGCACTATAAAATATTATCAGCTGTTCACACACATTCATCAGTGAAAAGTGTGCCGGAAAGTCTCTTGAAATGCTTTGGAGAGCCAACTAAGAAGCAGCCACGCCATGAGTATCAGTTGGGCTTTACTCTCATCTGGAAGGATGGTAAGAATAAGTTATCTTACAGGTGAATACTTAATAATAGGTCAGAAAATGAAACTTGGGCTATAAAACAGATGCTTTGCTGTCCTTTTGCTGACACTTGATAGACCCTACTGCAGGTAACATTTTTTTGCTCTTGTAAGTACGGACTTGAAATTTCATAGCTGTATGTAGTAATGGGAACAGAGCAGGAAAACTGAATTACTGCTATTAAAATACAAATGGCATTTAACAGGTGGTTATTTGAAAAACACCTCTATGCAAAAATCCTGTGGGTACAGTTTCTACAAGTAATTTATTAGAATATAAATTAGGTAAGAGATTTTGCAAACTTCAATCCAATGTGAGCCTTTCTTTTATTTTATGCTAGGTTCTTGCATTAGCTTAAGTATATAGACTAAGAAAACTGAAAGTTGGTCATAAAGTTAACAGTGGGCTGGCATTGCAGATGAAATAAATTTTAAATTACCAGTTTATTTAGCTTCTCTACCGTGTGGTAATCACTTTTCTTTTCTCGATTTCAGTTCCAAAGCCTCAGATGAAGTTTAGCATTCAAACAATGTGCCCAATTGAAGGAGAGGGGAACATTGCTAGATTTCTCTTTTCCCTTTTTGGCCAGAAGTACAATGCAGTTACTTCAACTCTGATTGACAGCTGGGTTGATACCGCCATCTTCCAGCTAAAAGAAGGGAGCAGTAAAGAGAGAGGAGCAGTCTTGCGATCTATGAATGCTGCCCTGGGCAAGACACCGTGGTTGGTGGGAAATGAACTCACTGTGGCAGACATTGTCGCGTGGTGTGCACTTCAGCAGACAGGTAGTACAAATGCTGCACCAGCCAACGTGCAAAAGTGGATGAAGTCCTGTGAAAACTTGGCACCTTTCAGCTCTGTTATTAAGTTACTGAAGTAAAGCTGTACTCTTCATCATGGTATAATTTTAATCTTTTTCCACCTCATGGCTAGTGTAGTGGTTTGAGTCCTTTCTGAGATACTCAATTTCTACAGTTGGACAGAACTCTAAAACCAATAAAAGATTACAGCGACCTTTTGTGTGATCTTCCTTCTTTGTAACCCATGTGTAACAAGCATGTTTGTTTATTGAATGAGAGTTATCTAAAGTTGTCCTCTGCAAATACAAGCTGTTGTTTTGTATTTTTAGGTAATTCTTTTTCTGTAACCCAGAAACCCCCATACAGGTTAACTTGGATTCCTTTCTGTTGATGGGAGATTTGCCTTAGCAAAACAATGAAGGCCTTTCAAGAACTGACAGGACAATCAAAATGCACTGAAATATTTTATGTAAAAAAAGTTTTATATAACTTAATGTACAATAGTTTTGTTCTTCCTGTGCTTAAACTGGAGAACCTAGGCTCATAGGTTCATTTTGTTCATTAGAAAGGCGTCTTAATTTCTCTTTCAATTCTTCTATTTCTTCCTCTTGCTGTCTCAGCTTCTGCTGTAGATTATAAATAACCTGAAAGTAAGAGTCAGTTTAGGTCATTTATATACAGGCAAGCATAAAGCCTTACTACTTTATTTGTGTGTCTGTACTGGATTATGAACAAGATTCATTCTGCAACACCCCAGGTATTAGGGGTATTTGATATTACAAATTGAAAAAAAACTGGCTCAAGGAAAGGGAAAATAAATTGAGAGCAGACAGAAAGCTTCAGAAACTTACAACACTTATCTCAAGCGGTATGTAAATCAAGTGTCCAGTCTTAATTAAATTACATTTACCTAATGACCACTTATGTACTTTAAGAGACGAGAAAGAGGGGCCTAAATATTATTGGGGGGAAAAAATAAAATCATTCATGCAGTCCTTTTAAGTTATTTGAAAAGAAACACAGGCACAGTAGAGGCAGGGAAGTAAGGGAATCATTATAAAACACTTTTCTTTCTGTATTTCTTTATCCTGGTAAAGGTTGAGGTTATTGGCATAACTTACATGTTCTGTGGTATGAAATAGTTCACTTTCACAAAGCTGAGCAGCAGTTGGTCTTTCTGTAGATACCTGACTGGTGAGAAGCTTAACATACTTGGCTTGAACAGGCCAATTTTTGTAGAAAGTATGAGGAATGTGGCCATTCCTTAAATGTGTAAGAACTTCTACTCTTTCCATTTCTGTTCCAAATGGCTGGAAGAGTTCGAACAGGATAACACCCAAGCTATACATGTCTGACTGGAAAAGGGATGAAGAAAAAGTTCTGAGATAATCCTTATTTTAAATGACTTACTAGATTTCTGCTCACCTAAGTTTCACAATATGAAAAGGTTTTGTAATGAAGTTCTATGGCACTGTTAAAGCAACTCAAATTCAAATTACACAGATTCTTCAAGATGAACCTAGAAATGCAAATTTTGCATTTGGCAGTTTAGTTGAAATTTGTTTCAGCAAGAAAATGGAGTAATGGTAGAATAGATGTTTACCAGCTATGATGCACAGGTGAGGGGCTTGTTTTATTCCTATACTCTAAGTACGTCTTACAGAAATTAGTAATTTCACCATAAGACTCTTTTTCAGACAAATTGTACTATTAAAATTAAACATAATTTTTGAAAAATTACATTTCAGGTTCCACAGATAGACACAAGGTGTTAACATTAGACAATCTGAATATCAGTGCCTAATTAGGTAATATTTAACAGCGTTTAATTGGCTTCATAGGAGAAAAAAATCCCTACCTTGAAATCATAGTCAGATCCCTGCAGTTGTTCTGGTGAGGCATAGAGGCAAGTCCCCACACCTGAAGTATGTGTCAGACCTTTAAAAAGTCAGTTTAGACTTAACTCAGATAGGGTTACCATTTTACTTTAGAATTTAGTATTAACATTTTTAACATAATAGAAACTTAAATACTGAAACATACGAAGATTTCTGCTCTTACCATTTATCTGTTCTGTGTGAAACCACTGATCTACATCATCCGAAAGGAGGTCTTTGCATGCTAATCCAAAATCTCCTATTTTAACACGACGATCTGATCCATGTAGAAAGATATTTCTGGGCTATAAAATGAGAGAAAGTCTTACACAAACCTATACAAAGGATTATGATGTATTCAGCTGTTTCAAAATCTGTAACATCCATTCAGAGGGGTAATATAGTGATTATTTAATACTTCTGTTAGTGAGATAGAAAAAAATAGTCATGGACTATCAAATTGTGTGTTAACAAGCACTGTTTGGAAAGACCACACATGAAGGATCTAGGGAAAAGTAAAGAAAGCAAAACAGGAAAAACAAAGATTTAGTGAAAAGACAAAGTACTTTTTTCTTCTCAGCTGGAAACGGAAATATGCAGAACAGTAATCTTAACAGGCAAGAATGCATGGCAGATTAGACCAACTAACATAGCAGGAAGGACTGAGATCTTTGGGCAAGGCATAGCATAAAACAAACATACTTTTCTGTATGACAAGCACAGCTGCAATGTGCTACTTTGTTCCAGGAAAGTTGCTAAGAAAGTAAGTGCTGAGAGGCTGCTAAGTAGGGAACGCTGACTGTGGAAAAACTGAAATAGTTTTATCTGTGTGTTTTGGCTGTATAACCACTAAGCAGGCATGTTAGTGCTCTGTGTCTAGGAAAAAGAAATACTTGCCATGTGAAAGAAAACATAATATCAAAGTAAAGTTTTTACTTAGTCTCTGCAGCACAAAATTTCTGAACTTAGGTACATTTCTATGAGAAATGAAAACAGTGTTGCTTAGTAAAGATTTTTTTCCTACTAAATAAAATGAACACTGGCAAGAAAACAAAGGGAACAGAGGCCTTTTTCCATTCTTAAACTTTCGCTGCTTTTATAGTATGTTTGAAATCTTGCACTGAATAGTGAGGTTACTTCAAAGCTACTCTCGAACCAGGCATCCTGCAACATCACAATGATGGTGCTCAAGTGAAGAACTATATGAAGTAATAATGGAAGATGACAACACTTAAAGCCCTACTATCATCCTGTCAGTGAAACAGTGACTGCTTGGGGAGGACCCTTAACTCATAGACCTGCTCTCCCTCCAGGTACCCATTTGATCGGGATTATAATTTGTGTTTAAAGAATCTTGTAGATTTTAGAAATCCCACTTTTTTTTCTAATGAAAAAAAAAATCATTAAAAAAACATTTAATGGTTGTGGCTTCTAATGAAAACAGACTCCTAAATCTTAGTAAAATTGAAGTCACAGGACTTGCAGGCATAAGTATTACTTTGGGGAAAATGGACTATGTATCTCCAACAGATCACAGGAGGGATCCTTCCATATCTCACATTTCTTTGAAGGAGTCATTGGGCCTCTAGTTAACAGCAATCCAGCTGAACTCATTTACATTAATTTCAGAAAGATATTTGTCCAGACCCTCATTGAACTCAACTGTAGTGAAGTTAGAGGGAAGGTCCCCCCAGATAAGTAACTAGCTTAAAGACTTAAAAGAAACAATAAATAGTCAGCTTTCAAGGTGAAAGATATTATCAACTGATTTTTTATGAATTTGTGCTGGGAACTATGCTGAACAACATATTTGTAAATGATTTAGAAAAAGGAGTGTGAGCGGTGAGATGACAAAGTTTACCAACTATACTGTATTATTCAGTGAAATAATGACAAGGTCTGAATGCAAAGAACTGTAGAAGGATCTTGTGATTCTTAACAGGCAGGGAGTACAATGACAAAAGCAATTCAGTGCAAATAAGCATTAAAATGTAAATGAAAGAAAAAGCAATCCAATTTTATATGGGCAACAACTGTCTCTGAGCTGACTGTTACCGCTCAAGAGTGGTAACTGACAACTCCTAAAATGGCAAATTGATGTTCATCAGCAGTCTATAAAGCAAATTGTACATTACCAACTAAGGGGGATATACAGAAGAAAACATCATGTGATACTACATGAATTAATACGCTGCCATCTTCAGTACTGTCTACAGTTCTGAGCCTCCCATCTCAAAAAGCACATAGAGCTGGAAAAATGTGCAGAGATGGTTCACATGAATGCTGAAAATTTGGAATGGCTTCCATTCAAGGAACCACTAAATATAAAGCACAAGACAAACTGTTAGGTTTAAAACATCTATTAAATCATGCATGGAATTGAAAAAGTGAGTAGAAAACACTACTCAGTAATTAATATAAACAAACTATAACTAGAGGTAGTATCTGTTGACTCAGAATCATATCACTGTCGAATACACTTCTTATGCTGACAACTGCCTTGTTACCATAGATTTTTTTAATGACATTTTCTAAGCTGAAAATAGAGAAGAGACAAGAACTAGTCACTAGCTGATGAAGCCATCTATAGCAAGTCTGTCCAAGAAGCTGCTAAATTTTGTTGATTTACAACCCAAATCTGATGACAGAACTGACCTATAACAAGCTGTAATCCACACATCCCGAAGCCCAAGCACTGTATCACAGACATGATGGTTCTGCCTGCTTATGCTTCTTCTATGAGCTTCAGTGACCTGAAGCTGAACTATGATGACTCATTTATCATCCTATAAAATTGGGAAATAGAGGAACTCAAGGCATAACATCATTTTATGCATTCCTGCTGGGCACACAGAAGCTGTGGTTAGCAAAAATGAATTAATGACCTAACTTCTGTTAGGTCATAGTAACCCATAAGATTTGTTCTGACAACTAACATTTTTGCGACCTGTTATGATGCTATGCCCTACCAGTCCAAAAGTATTTTAAATAAAAATTAAAAAAAATGAAACTCTGTTTTATATTACAGAAATAATAAGAGGCTACACAACATTTCATCTCGTACTAAATTTGCCTAGTACTTATAGAGCTGGGAGATCCACTTCAGGCAAATTTCAGAGAGAGATCAGCAAACTTGACAGCACAATACAGAAAAGTGTCTCTGTATCTTGCACACTGTAATACATGGATAGATCCTGAAATGAGTAATTACAAACACGACCATCTGCTACATTCAGGCCAGCAGTCTGATGATGCCTTCCTACCTATACAAATTCTTTTTGAGTATTGTCTCAACATAAAGGACACAGCCAAGTATGGCTGGACACCTCTTCACATA